ATGATAGGACATACGTGCCCCAATCACATTGATGCCTAATTTATATATATATATATAAATATAAATTATATATATATAAATATATATATATAAATATATATATTCTGTTGAGCTATTTGGGCTGTTTGTAGTTTGGCAAGTTCTTACACACCTTCCGTTTCTTCAAAAAAATATTTGCTACTGGTGTATTTTGAAGCTTGATTATGTTGTTGGTAAAATTAGTGGTAGAATGGTGCGGTAGAATGGTGCTTAGTCTTCAACATTTGGTGCAGTGTTATTGTTGCAGTAAAAAAATGGTTGAGGCATTGGTTGCAGTGTATGGTTGATTCTATACCTCTAGCGTCGATAATTTTAAGTCAAAAATATTTTGTTTGTCTCTAATCATACAGCTTTCTAACATCTTGTTAGAAATGCAGTACCATTGCACATTAACTTTATCATAAAACATTTTTGAGTCCATTTTGTTGGGTAGAGTTAGTGGTAAAGTAATCCTTGACCATCAGCTAAATTTGACAAGGCAAAATATTGAAGTGTTGACCAATGCAGCTTATATGGATCCTGACCAACAGACATCAGAAATATAAAACTAGGACAGGCCATAGAGATATTATTATTATAACTCCATGGATAGGTCTAGGGTTTGGCTTTACTCCAAAAAATTACGAAGTATAGTAAAATTTAAAATCGAAAACAATAGGCAATTTTCATAAATTTTTTGTTAGGCCTAATTATATCGTTTTACAGTTAGTCTTTTACGTGCTGAGAGTTTATCATTTCTTTTATCGTTTTAGTATTAATTGAGATTATTAAATAAAACTAAGACAGACAGACATAGGCCTACAGTACATAAACGTCTAGATAGGGTACTCTTCCTTCAGTTTTAGCGAAATACAAACAAAATATTGAACTTCATATAACAAGAAACACAAATATAAATGTAAATGTGGGCAGTTGTCCAATATGTTATCTATTTCAATATTGATTAATCTGGAACTTATAGAGGAACAGTATATCCATCTTATGTGACAAGAGACTTTTCAAAAGAAAGTAAAAACTATTTTCTCTAGCTAGCTGTTACATGCACTCCTCTCACCCCTCTTTTACCGAAAAAAAAAAAAACATGTTTTAATGCGGCACATTTTTAACCATGGATTATTCTATTTCGATGTTGATTAATCTTGAAGTTTAGTGAAAATTAATGTATTTATTATATATGATGATTAGGCTCTTTAAAGGAGGTATTGTATACTGTAAGATAATGTTTTTTCTATCTTGCTGTTCAATGCATTGCTTTCACCCTTCTTCAAATAGTGAAGCCAAGTTTTGTTGCATCGTTGATTAACCATGGACTCTACCATTCAATATGGGTAATTAATTTATAACCATTTTTCAAATAATTATATTTATATTGTATAATTATTAAAATGTTTTTAAATGTTTGAAAGTACCAAAATTCAATTTCAGTTAAATTAAATTGCACTAGTAATGTATAAAAATAGTTGTCAATTGTTGATATTCCATGGCGTATCAAGTGATCTTGGAACGTCTTCCTTGATACAGTACAGCATAGCCGGCTGAAAGTAAATCCATAGAGCAATTACTCTCTGTCCAATGTAAAAATTAGACACTTGACTCTTGTACTCAATGTTTAACTGAATTATGATCTCTAACACATATCACGAGCGGATCACCTCTTGTTATTTTCAGAGATCTTCATCATCATCATCATCATTGGTGATCCGCATCTAGTGCGGATCACCTCTTGTTATTGTCAGAGTTTTTTTTTTTAATTCTATATTCTGGCAAATAACTGTTCGCACAATATCTCAAATTTGCCGAGAGCTATGCACAAAACGACTACAACAAACATTTGGCTTGGCCTGGAATAGTGACAATAAGCTTTGCAAGGTTACCAGTCACGTGTGACGTCATCTACACGCATTTTTGTGTTTTTTACGCAATTGATTATATCAGCCTAACCAATTGACATTTCGAAATCGTATTACGTGAGCATTAACTTCGAGTGAAGGTTGAATGTAATGTACACCCATTTTGCACTTCATAACGCGCGCATCAAAATTTTAAAATGGTCGAAATCAATTATCGACTAAATTAGAGCACGTTTTAAGCCATTTTGAGCATTTCAACATTTTTTAAATTTTAGGCACCGCGTGCGCATTTTTACGCGAGCAGCACGTACAGAAGAAGAACAAATATTGTTTTTTTAAATGTTTTAGGTCCCAGACACTGTATTCACAAATTTCCAATCTTTTTTGGTCATTTAGGATCAATAGCAATGCTGTACGCGTGCATAGAACATAAGAGCACATGTGCGCGTTTTTTTCGACATAGAGCAAAAATAGGCCAAAAACATGCCTATTTTCAATCAAATATAGCTCCTTAGAATGAAAGGTGACCCCCAATTTTTATTATATATTCTGAAAGCACATGAGTTGTAGATATGATTTTATAGATCATAATGGCTGATCTGACATTGTGACATCATCATATTGACATTTGAAATCAAAAAACTGATTTTTAGTTCCTTTGTGACCTTAAAGTTATTGGAACCTCCTACACTCTGTGTTGGATATCTATATTCACTTAGGTATATATAAATCATGAGATATGGAAATAAAAGTCACACTGTTTATCATAATTTAAAAAAATCATGATTTATAGCGATTTTTCAACATTTAAGCCCCGCCCACCTCACAATGTTTAATAATGGTCATGTGACACTATGACGTCAGACATGTCCGGCTCCTAATTGTCTTGTCTCAACTTGTCTCCAATCGCGGTTTGTTTTGATTGTCGCGAAGTTCTTTTTGAAGTCAGATTCGTCTACCTACTATCGAATTACCGTCTACTTAATGGTGTTGTTATGCGTTGTGTTGCAATTGGGTGCAAAACGACCCACTTAGATGGGGTTAGTTTTTACCCGTTCCCTACTGAAACAACCCAGAGGAAGAAATGGATACAGGCTGTCGGTATTTCAAGGGCCGACTGGCAGCCCACCAAGCATTCGATGCTGTGCGGACGGCATTTTGAGGCAGAATGCTTTGAAATGAAGTCCAGCATAGGCAACTACTTGGGAGTCGTGGGGAAAATTAAAAAACGCCTAGTTAAGGGTGCAATTCCCACGGTTTTTGAAAAACCTAAATACCCAGGGTCGCTAGGAGAAAGGCCACCAGTCAAGAAAGGAAAGTCCACAGCTTACGAAAAACGGGAACGAAAAAGGGTAAGTAGAATAAAATACAAAAATAGCAGGAGGTTAGGCCAGGCATAACGACATTTGGTTCGAGGTTTGGTAGGAAAATCCAGCTTTATTATTATTAAACCTGTTTCATTTTGCTTTATAACTTTGTGCCGTCAACATCGTATACATTTCAGTGCTCTGTGTAATTCGTGAATGAATATTATTAGCTAGCCTAGGCCTAGACCTGAGGCATCATAATCCGTGGCATAATTAATGTGTGCCTAATCTAGCTAGAGGCCTAACCTAGGCCTAGTATATTTCCTATCAGGCCTAGGCCGTAGGCCTATGTCGTAACTGAAGGGCGAGTTCATTTTACCGGCGTTAGTTCTGTAGTAATTTAATGATCGTAATGTTTTGTACTGCATCTCATAAATATAACGTTTGTTTATATTATTAAGCATCAATTGGTTACCATCGACGTTATAATTATTATAACATTATCGTCTGCGCGCGTAGTCGGTGCGATCGCGTTGAAGTGACCTGGCCTGCATTGCAAGAAACTATGTACAGTATTTTCAATCTGAGTAGGCCGAATATCACAGAGAATTGCTGAACTTTTATGCATGGTGCCTTAATTTAGTGTTATATTTTATAAAGCATATCGATAAACATGTCATTTCTCTGATTATTTTACCACTACCATAGGTAATCCAAGAAATTATGGCCAATACACTGGATGAAAGTGTTGAAAAAGAAAACAAAGATCCTGTTCCTCAGAGTTTTAATAAAATGGAAATGGAAACTCAGGTTAGATATTCAATATAAT